AGCTGGGCACGGCTTTGCAGCAGGCACTGAGCATCCGGGGCTGGGAGCAGCTGGCAGTGCCATCCTGCTGCCAGTGTGTCACCCCAGGGTGGGACAGTGCGGGTCCAGCTGTAAGCTGGGGACCAGCCCAGCACCCTGAGGGCACCCCCCAGCACCGCCACTGCCCTCCAACCCCTGACAGGATCTGATCCTGCCCTGCACTGCCCCAGCGCAGGTTTGGGTGCGCACCAGCCAGGGAAAGAGGATCCAGCACCACAGCCTTCGGGGTGCTGCACTGAGGGGTGCCCTCAGCTCAGCACCCCCAGCTCAGCATCCCTTTCCCTTGCAGGGTGACCATCCCACTGTATGACGCCGACACGGGGCTGCTGGTGTTGGCAGGGAAGGTGAGGTCCCACAGCAGCGGGGTGCAGGGGGGTACAGGAGGATGCAGGGGAGTGTAGTGAGGTGTAGTGGGTGCAGTGGGGTGTAGAAGCATGCAGGAGTTGCAGGGGGGTGCAGGAGGCTGCAGAGGGGTGCAGGAGATGCAGCAAGGTGCATGTGGGTGCAGCGGTTACAGGAGGGCACAGAAGGGTGCAGGGGGAGCATATGGAGGTGCATGCGGTTGTAGGAAGGTGCAGTGGGGTGCAGGGATTGCAGCAAGGTGCATGTGGGTGCAGGGGGGTACAGGAAGGTGCATGTGGGTGCGGTGGGGTGCTTCCTGCAGCCTCACTCATTCCCTGTCCACTCCACCTCTCTTCCAGGGAGAAAACCTCCTGTACTGCTTTGAGGTGACCCCCACGCAGCCAGCGCTCACCCAGGGTAAGCAGGTCCCACCCCACACCGGGGTCGCAGCAGCCCTGGGGGGCTCACCCCTGCCTGCACTGCCCACCTCATGTCCATCCCCCCTCCCCACAGTGACCCAGTGCCGGACAGAGGGCAGCACGCGGGGCCTGGCGGCCGTGCCACGCCGGGCCCTGGACGTCATGGCCTGCGAGGTGCTCCGTGTCCTGCAGCTCACCGACACCGCCCTCGTCCCTGTCAGCTACGTGGTGCCACGCAAGGTGAGGGGGGGCTGCTGGTGGCACTGCATCGTGGATGCCTGGTTTCATCTCATGGGTGACACCTCGCCAGCACCAGGTGACAAAAGGCACCCAGGTGCACTGGGACGCCAATCCCCAGCCTGGGGAGAGCAGGAGAGGAGGTCAAACCTGGGAGCTGGCAGTGGGTCACAGAGTGTGAGTTTGCTGCATGCTGGATTTGGGAAGCCGGGTGCTGCATGTAGAATTGGGGTGCTGGAGAGTGGATGCTGATAGCTGGGTGCCACCTGCTGGGTGCTGTTGTGCAATAGGTGCTGGGTGCTTAAAGTGGATGAAATTTGGGTGCTGGGTAGTGGAGTCTGGGTGCTAGAGGTGTCTGGGGGTGTCCAGGACTGCCCCAGCTGCAGGAGGATGGAGGCTGTGGGACTTCAGGAACACCCACCTTGCCCCCTCCCTTCTCCCACAGTCTGTCCAAGACTTTCATGAGGATCTGTTCCCTGACTGCACTGGGACCCTGCCAGCCACCAATGCCCAAGCCTGGTGGGCAGGCAACAACCAGCAGGTCAGTGTCACCCAGGGGTGTGTCCTTGCTGGTGGCATTGCCACTGCCCCATGCCCACCACTGTGCCTGGTGCAGGTGGGGAGGGTGAGCCTGCACCCCGCACGGAGATCCACGGAGACCTTCACCTCCCCTGTCATCGCCTTCACCCACCACACCAATGCCGGCCACACCAACACCGACATCGGCCACACCGACATCGGTCACACCGACACCAACATCGGCCACACCGACACCGACATCAGCCACACCGACACCGACCGGAGCGTGAGCATGGGGTGCTGGGAATGTGCTTTGGATGCTGAGGGGGTGGGGGTCCCTGTCGCCTTTATACAGCAGGGAAAGGCCGGGCTACCAGCACCACCTGCCCACCCGCTGTCTCTCCTGTAGGAGGCCAGTGGCTACTCCTCGCCATCCTCGCTGGCCTCGCCAGGCAGTGCAGCCACCTCGCTCTCAGCCAGCACCGGCCCCTCCAGCGGCTTCGCCAGCAGCCCCAGCCAGAAGTCCCTGCAGAGCATTTTGGGTGAGCAGGCAGCAGGGTGAGCTCGGGGTCCCTCACTGAGAAGGGATTCGGGGCACTCACCTATCCCTCACCTGCTCCAGGGCCCAGCTCCCGCTTCCGGCACGCGCAGGGCCGGGTGCTGCACCGCGACTCCCACCTCACCAACCTGCGGGGGCTCAGCCTCACCACGCCGGGCGAGTGCGACGGCTTCTGTGCCAACCACCAGCGCGTCGCCCTGCCCCTGCTCACCGCCGGCGGCCAGATTGCCGTGCTCGAGGTACCCCGGAGCGGCTGGAGGCCGGCACGGCGCCGTGAGTGCCATGCCCGTGACCTCTGTCTCTTTCCCGCAGCTTTCCAAGCCCGGCCGCCTCCCCGACACAGCCGTGCCCACCATCCAGAACAGCGTGGCAGTGGCCGACCTCTCCTGGGACCCCTTCAACCCGCGGCGCCTCGCTGTGGGTACGTGTGCCAGCCCCGCCGGAGCGTGCCGGGGTAGTCCCCTGGCTCCGGGCATGCTGATCACCACATTAACCACTGCCCATCCTTTTTGGTCCCCAGCCGGTGAAGATGCCAAGATCCGGCTGTGGCGGATCCCTGAGGGAGGGCTGCAGGAGACACTGCAGGAGCCTGAAGCCATTCTCCAAGGTGAGGGGACACAACGAGCACCCTACACTGGGGACAAGCCAGCCCAGTGGTGTCCACAGCTGGGGACGACCACGCACTGCTCAATCTTCCCAGGTCACACAGAGAAGATTTACTCCATCCGCTTCCACCCCGTGGCATCCGATCTCCTGGTTTCCTCCTCCTACGACATGACCGTGCGGATCTGGGATCTGAGCGCCGAGCAGGAAGTCTTGTGCCTGCAGGGACACACAGATCAGGTAAGGAATGACAAACCTGGGGACACCTGAGGGGTGACTTTGGGATATTGAGGGGATACAACATCTGTCTACCCAGATCTTCAGCATGGCTTGGAGCCCAGATGGGAAGAAGCTGGCGACAGTGAGCAAAGACGGACGGATACGGCTCTACGAGCCACGGTGCAGCCCTCGGCCTCAACAGGTACAATCATGGCACTGAGGGTGGGCTGGAGAGCTGGGGCTGCAGGCAGGAATGCCCCCAAGGGCACCTGCCCGCACCCCCAGCTCTCTCTGAGCGGGCAGAGTGACCTTCTCCCCACACAGGAGGGTCCAGGTCCCGAGGGGGGACGCGGAGCACGCCTGGTTTGGGTTTGCGGTGGCGACTACCTCCTGGTGTCCGGCTTTGATAGGTAAAGAGGGGGACACGTGGCAGGGCAGGGACACCAAGGGACACCATGCTCCCCCTCATTGACACCTCCCCACAGCCGCAGTGAGAGGAGGATCCTCCTGTACCGGGCACAGGCTCTGCCTGAGGGACCCTTGTCCGTCCTTGGGCTCGATGTGGCCCCCTCCACCCTCCTGCCCTTCTACGATGAGGATACCAGTGTTGTCTTCCTCACCGGCAAGGTGAGGGCTTGCCCTCCAAAAAACTGGGGGGCTACCTGTCTACAGCACCCCAAAAGTGCAGAGGGACCCTCCATGCACCTTGACAGCCCATCTCACTCCATCCCCAGGGTGACACCAGAGTCTTTCTCTATGAGGTGACTCCTGAGCCCCCCTATTTCCTTGAGTGCAACAGCTTCACCTCCAACGAACCCCACAAGGTAAAGAGAGGCAGTGCTGCCTGTCCCTGACCCCTTGCCTGCGCTGCCAGACCCCGCTCACGCCCCCACCCCACCAGGGCTTTGTCTTCCTGCCCAAAACGATGTGTGAGGTGCGGGAGGTGGAGTTCGCCCGTGCGCTGCGCCTGGGGCAGAGCACCCTGGAGCCCGTGGCTTTCCACGTGCCACGTGTCAAGGTAGGTGGGGGGTAAGGGGGAGGCTGGCTGTGTTCTGGGATGGGGACAGAGGCAAGGGACTCCCCTCAACATCACTTGCCCCCACAGAAGGAGTATTTCCAGGACGACCTCTTCCCTCCGACCCGCGTCTGGTGGGAGCCGGCCCTGGGTGCCGGTGCGTGGCTGGCGGGGCAGGACGGGCAGCAGCGCCGTGCCAGCCTGTGCCCGGCCGGCATGGTGCCAGGTGGGTGAGGGGCAGGGCAGGACCCCCAGCCCACGGGGATGGTGTGGGGGGGTGTCAGCCACGGGGCGAAGCCCTCCTGCCCCACGGTTATGCCGCTCTCCCAGTGAGCGAGGCCCCGAAAGAGGCTCCGGCTCGGAAGTTCGTCCCTGCATCCGTGTACCTGGAGGAGAAGTCGGACGAGCAGAAGAAGGAGGAGGTGGGTGCTGGGGAGGGGCGACCGCCCTGCAGTGGGGCTGGGGGCGATGTCCCTCACCCCACGGCTCTGCCCGGCCTCCCCACAGCTCCTGAGTGCCATGGTGGCCCGGCTGGGCAACCGAGATGACCCGCTGCCCCAGGACTCCTTCGAGGGGGTGGATGAGGACGAGTGGGTAAGTGCAGGGACTTGGGAGGGGAGACACGACCCCCGTCGGGTCCCATCAGACCCTGCCATGCCCCTCACCCACACCGAGTGTCCCGCAGGACTAGGCTGGACCCGGCACCCC